GCGCCAGACTTTTGATTCACGAATATCAACACTTGCCCATCCTGAATGGCAACCGAGTTGCACGCACGCACAAATAACCACACCTACCTCCTCCTGGGCATCATCCAGAATGTGCGGCAGATTCTCCGAGAGCCAGTTGAATTTGTCGTCCTTTTCCTCGACCACCACCACATCCTGCGTGACGGCTTGGGCTGCACCACCCGTGGTAGCACTAGCTCCGACGAACAACCTCACAGGGTCTCTGAGAAGAGGGGTGTCACCTCAACCCACATGCACGTTGGTTGGATAACCTACTGCATGATGTATCTAGCGAGGCGTTCAATCTTGGGTGGCATGGTCGCCGAGAATAACATAGTCTGCCGATCAGGCCGAACCCTCTGCACTAGACTGCGGACCTCGAATGAATCGAAACATGCCATTCGCGAATCGCTTCGCTCCGCCCTACCTGGTTCTCGAATCCCATATTAAGCATCCTGTCCGCCTCATCTAGAACAACCCACGCTGTATCCCCAGTGAGCGACATGCCATGCTCTTTGACCATGTCAATGCATCTGATGAGGAGCAACTATCCAACATGATGTTGTGAAGGAATGCTTCCAATCACCTTCCCGGATTCCCCACAACGATATCGCAAGTGCCCTTCCTGAGGTCTTTGAATTGTTCATACTTCGATAGACCTCCAGCAAGGGTAGTGCCTTATTGAACACACATGTAAGATACCATTGTGCGGAGCTGTCCCCTTTTGTGTCATCACTTGTGATTCCGATATACTTCCCCAACTTGTAGATGGTCTTCTCTATCTGCACTGCCAGCTCCCGAGTCGGACACAAAACCTGCCAGTGGTAACCGCTGAAAGGTCAACGCCCATCGTATTAGTCCTACCAATGCGAACGGGCACGCCGGATGGTCTTTGGTGGGGGCCGGTCTATCAGCCAGATCGGCATGTTCTTTGTGATAGATGATATGCATGATTAAAGGCATCAAGTAAGCGAGAGTCTTCCCGCTG